TGTTTGTCATGATCTGCTGCTCAGCTGCTTACTGTTTATCACAGCAGAACTGGAAAAACACAAAGGGAGGGAAGCACCAATAGAACAAGAAGGATTGGGGCCACCCAGAAACTAAGAAAGACAGAGCAACTGAACTGATGTAAACATGGTCATCACTTATCTCTGAGTTTCATATATTTTGGGGAGTTGTTTTCAGTACAGGACAGTATACTCAGATTGTGACTCATGGCCATTTTTTCCATGACTAGATTGTTATCACTTTCATTCTCAATGAAAGAACAACACTTACACCGCAACTGACAACACAACAACTTTCACAGAGAAAAGTTTCTAAGCTCAGAGAAAGGTTAATAAATTGACATGAGTTAGGATTTTCTTTTTGTCAGAAATGTTTTCACTCATTTTTAACATGCATGTTTTAATAACACAATGATTAAAAAGAGTAGTGTGAGGCAATATCTGATATTTTGGTTAAAAAACACTGTGGTACAACACTAAATTGCTTATTTTGCAAGTCCTTCAGTTTTTTCGAAAATTAATTATTGTCATTTTTGGAAGATCTGCTTTAATGACAAATATCTCAAGTCAATTTAGTTGTTTTTTTTTGGAGAAAATAGTGGGTTGTATTTGCCTTAACTTCCAAAACGCCCTGAAAAACCAAGGCAGAATACCATAACCAGAACACTCAAACTGAGTTAAGGTACTCTACCTTTAGTAGACAGTAACTTCACCTTGATGCGGAATAAAACAAAGGCAGAATAACAACTCAGTTTGAGTAAAGGTACTCTTGGGTTAAGGCTCTGGAGCTACGGTGTTATGCCTGTGTTTTACATAGGCATACACTTCAGCGCGGTAATAATTAATATCATTGAAGCGAACACAGACAGTAGCTTGAATAATGTTTTAAAGCAAGCAGTGCTGGAGCTAGCTCTTAAGAATGCCCCATTGTTCTCAAGGTAAAATGTTGGCGAAGACGGCTTTGAGATGCAGACACCAAGATCAAGGTCAGAAAGACTGAGTTAGGCTACAAGAAAGACAGAGATAAAAAGGAAATCTACTAAAATGACTTGTTAGCTAGCTTAGGTTTGACAAACTGCTAGCCTAGTACAATGCTCACCAAATTTTATGTAGATGTCATTATTATCATATACTCATTTTATATAGTGATCAGTTAACCGAATGAGTGATCAAATGGAAGTGAATTCCTTTTGCCTTGGCAGATCCCCTTATTATTATGCAGACAATGCAAAAGCAGAGTACCGTAACTTCCGAAAAAGGGTCAAAGGTCAAGTTTGACCTCAATATTTTTTTGTAGATAGATAACTTTATTCAGAATACAAAGAATTGCTACATTTCCAACATTCTGCATGCAATTTCAATTTAGCTGGACAACAAAAAAACGTTAAAGTTATTTTAGTAGACATAGTTAAAAGATTATTTAAGCTTTCCTAATAATTTCTTCATACTTCTTTGCTCGATTTTTTGTCTTGAATTGTGTTTAAAACTACACCGTCAAACTTGGATTCAGGAAAAGGCCCCTTTCATGGTTGGTTGCCCATTGGTTGGAGTACATGTGTAATGGGGCTTGGGGTGGTGCAAGTTGGTGGAATCAGTGGTAACTGATGGGTAAACAACAGGATTATTTACTTTATACTCCTAATTGCCCTATTTGTGTTCTTGAAGCAAAGACCATTCTTTTTTTTGTTGTACTTTGCTAATGATTCAATACTTGATATATCACATATATTCGCATATAGAACTCTTGTAAGCATTATGTGGGTTGGCCATCACCATGGAAACAGAACATGAAAAATGTAAGTTTTTTTTGTTGTTGTTGATTGTGGAAATCAGTAAAGAATGTTTCATGAATATTTTACAAAATATTACCACCTAATTTTTTTTATTGATTATTTCCTGAATGTAAATGTACATTAGAAGTAGTGGTTTTAATTTGCTTGTTAAAACTTTTATTCTATCATTATACTTAACAGTTTCTCCCTCAGTAGCCTATAACTACCGAAGCTATTTCAAAACATTCACAACAACTATCACTGGGTATCGTTTTAGCAGCAATTAATTTAACTCACTTGTAAAATCAACATTTGGTAGAGCAGGTGGCAGCTTTCTCTGCACTGTTACTAACACCAGAGCAACAGACTTAGACTACTGCATGGCAACAGGTGTGTATTCAGACCAGACTATTACAAAATGCACAGGTAATATCAACTTAGTATTATCACGTTTCAGGCCACATTACTTTGTCTGATTTTCTCTGTCTCAGACAGCTTCGATATAGCTGACCTCAGGTCTTTTCTCCACTTATCCTCTTTGACTCATCTGATGCCGTTATATCCCTCCCTCCCTCTTTGTGCTAAGGCCCAGTTCTCTTTGCCCTGCGAGTGAGGTTTCCCTTCCTAGAAAAAAGTGTGTCTGGGACTATCTGATGTCCCGGATGTGATGTGTGTTGAGGAGTGAGATGAGTCGGCTAGCCCGCTATCCTGGAGTGCCGGGTCTTTAGCCTCTGAGCCCTGAGCCTGGGCCCAGACTGTCTGCAAATTAGAGAAATTAGCCCAGCCAGGCGCAGGCCAGTGAAAGAGCCCAAATCCCCACCTCCCCTCCTTCTCCACCACGCACACACACACCCCTTCTACCACCACCATTAACCCCAATGTCACACTGAGCAGTAAAGCTCCACTCTTGGAATAGCTGTCTTGCCATATGGCAGCCAATTTACTATTTCACCAGCCAAGTTAGGAAAGAAAGGGCGAGAGGATTGGGTGGTTAATGATGGACACAAATATAGTTATAATTTAAAAAAAAGATATAGCTATATTGATTTACAGCAGTTAATAATGTAAGCAGTATATTTTTTCAAGAACGTAAAAATATTGTATACATTTTTTTATTTGCACTTTACCAATATTTGTGAAATACATTTTCATCGGTTTCTCTTTAACAATGTGTATCCTGGAAATCAAATGTTGTTTGACATAATTTTATCTCTTCCTGTGGCTTTTATGGTACATTTTAAATTACATAATAGGCACATACATTTTTTTAAAATTATTATTAAAAACAGAACAGGGGTGCATGTTTTTAGGAACAAGGAATTTTAGGAATTGAGTTTCAGCATTGCTACAGTAATTTACACATTTTCAACATCCAGCCGGCAGATTATGTAACAACAAGTAAATTTGAGTAAAGATGCATGCTGTACTTACAGTAATAATATTTAAATGGAGAAATTAGTAATTTTCTGCACACTAATGTGTGTCACAGCTGACAAAAATTACCATGACAGATGTTTCAGTTGTGAAATGTAAAACATCAAGTGAAAATCTTAATTTTACATATATATTTTTATTCATATAAAGAAAAAAATTACCTTTATTTCTTACATATGATACATTTTGATAAATTCACATATAGGCGTATGTGTTTTAAGGCACTTCACATGAAAAAACACATCTTCGCATTTGCTTTTGTTTTGCACAGGCCACGGCTCCGCATATAGAAAAGTCACATTCTCTTTTTTTTCTACCTCCATATGTTGTTTTAACTGCTCTCTCCTGTCCTGGCTATCTTTATGCAGATCACCAGGTGAGGTGACCTAGAGCTCCATATAGATTGTGTATGCGTGTGTGTGTCTGAAAGTAAAGGGGATGCTAACCAGACAGGTGACTAAGTCTCTTTCTTACGTGCCGGCATGACCTGCCCTACATCTGTACCTGTGAACAAGTGAAGAGCACTAATCAGCACAGGGCAAGTATCTCTTTGTAAAAAGAAGAGAGAACATTATTATTATTATGCAATTATTATTATTTCTTTTGAACTAAATTTATGTAGGGGAAAAAATGTGCTTGTATGTTTTTATAGGATCTGGATTCATATAGTGTTGTGTGGCGGGGGTCTTAGGGGTCTTAAAGATGTTCTACAGTGAGATGTAGGTCAAGGAGATACAGTGGCAGCAGATTGCTCATTAAGTGCCAAACCAAGCAAAAGTCTATGAGTGTGTTTTTCAGTGGCAACAGGCCAGCCATCTGCTCTTCCTTTATTCATTCATTAACATGTCTTCTTTGTGTGTGCATACATGGACGTGTGTGTGTGTGGGTGTGTGTGTGTGTACATGTGCAAGCATTCATCACAACAGCCACTTGCTGGCCAAGTGTACAACGTCACTGATGTTGTTGTCCAAAACCAACAGTTGTGTGTCGGATGGCTGAATCACATGACCACAGTGGCTTGTGATTGGCCAGGGCGTTGAGCTAAAAAAGCTTGGCGCAATCCAGGCTCATGAGTTTCTGGTGACGGTGACAGAGTGGACACAGCGGATACCCAAAGGATCTAACAGAGGAATCCCTGAAGAAACACTGGAGAAAGAAGAGAGAGTACAAAGAGGAGAAAAGATATTAAACAACCAAGGGATGACATAGCCAAAGAAATGAGGATCCTACAGCTGAATGAATGTGTGAAAGTAAGTCATATCTTCTTTCTTTTTTGCTTCCAAGGATTGGATAGATACAATATGGATAAACAAACAGAATGAGCAGAAAAAGGATAAGCTGACCTTTTGGCCTCATAAGAAATGGTTGGTTAGTGTCAGTGAACTTTCGTTCTTCATGAATGGAACTGGCTGCTTGAATACTAAATGACCAGAAAGCATTTTTAAATAATGGATAATAAGAATGGGTAAAAAAAAATTAGGGGGATTTCAAACAGTCATAGATTTTGTTTACTTTGGATACTGAGATTACTCAGATCAGATCAGCAAACTGTAGTATTGTTTACTACAGTAGGTTGTTTGTGATATTGTCAGTTAACCTCAATGTCAAAAAGATAACTTATTTCTGTGGCACTTTTTCTCTCTCCCTTTCCCTTTTCAGATCTTGAGCTTTAACCAGCGTACCTAAGACAAGGGACCTACCCAATAAAACCAAAGTACTTCTATACCAAAGCAACCTAAACCAAACAGAACCAAACCAAACTAAAGGTCTAAAGCCTGAATCCATCACGTACAGTATATTCTATATTGTCAAGATGAAGCTGGATAGCACACAAGGAGACATGAGTGGGTGGAGGGAGATGGACTTTGCCCTCAACTGCACCTACATTGTTCCAGACCAGGTGTCGGACCCCAGCTTCAGCCTGCCCAAAGCAATGACATCCATCCCACGTAACCTCACCTTTGAATACAGCACAGACAATGAGGTAAGAGCAATTCAGTTCCTTCAGATTGTTTACCTGTTGAGATATACAGTGGTTTACTCTTGAATCTTCCAAACTACAGTAACTTCAACCCAACTTTAGGGTTTAGTCACAATCACAATTTGGTCAGATTAACGCTGTAGTGTTTACACCTTCAAATATTAATTCTCTGTTACATAACATTCTGTTGGGCCATCTGCATTGGGTTACTTAGAACAAAAGAGTTGCTGACTAATGAGTTCTTCACACATACAGCCGTACACTCTGTGTGTGTGAGTGAATGTGGGGCGGTGGACATGAGGCCACTGGCAGCTTGAGGTCAGGGGGCTTTTTATGTCATCTGGCCACCTTAACTTCCATTATGTCACCCTAATGTTTCAACCATTGTTCAGCTTCTTTGCACTTCTGTCTTGTACATATAATGCGCTCACAGGCTCAGGACATAAACACAAACACACAGAGTAAGATGTCAGGGATCAGCTTTGTTTCCGCCAGGTGATCTAATCACATCAAGGCTCCTCCTCTCTTTTTTCCCTTCTTTACAACACCATGCCTGACTGTCCTCTTTACCGCCTATGCACTTTTCCACTTAGGTGAGTCAGGAAGAGTAATTGCAATATCCTCATCCGGACCTTTTTTAGTCAGCTGACTGTTTGGATTGCAGTGCAGTAAGATGAGGCATGTGCCTGGGCATGTCACCTGCTTTGTACTGCAACTAAAGAGAGAATCACCATCTTAAAAGGAAGAGAGAAAGATGTCACACTTCTTTTGTATTCACTCTTAACGCTCAACACTCTGATGCTTGTGGTTGATTTTACTGCCCCCTTCCTCTTTCTCTTCTGACCAAGGCACACACTTTTTGTAGTCGTTCCTCTTCTCTACCTCTCAAACTCTCATCTCTTCCTCCTCTCTATGCAGCATTTACTGCTGCATGAGGAAAGCATGCAAACTAAGGTGATAAAATCTCTTCGAGGTCTAATTTCAAATCCCCAGCCCTTGTTTACCAGCCAACACATCTTACAAAATGCTTCACACGCTCACACTTGATGGAGCCAAACTTGATTGCCATTTGCTTGTGCTCACATGCAACAGTGCTGGCTGACCAATCATAATTAAGAGAGAGTAATTTTAATCTAATTGTATTTTATATACACAACAAACACTTACTGGCAAACAAGCAAGTGGTCACATGTGTGTATATGTGATCAGTGAGTCAACAACAAATCAGATAAGAAATGACACATGAAAACAAGCATAAGCATACTCACATGCTTGCCAGTAATCTGTTTTAGTTAAACTGGCCCTCCAGTGGTTTCCCTTCCTAGTTAGTGTCATGTGAATCTTCCTCCTTGCAAGCTGGGAAATTCATTTCCTGTGATGAGCTTACAACACAGCCATCCTTTGTGTAGATTGGTGGGAGAGTGTGCATACATGTGTCAACTTAAATGTACAGTTAACACAGTTATCAGGAAGGATTAGAGGGAAGGGATTTTTCACACAGGTGAGTGTATGACACACTTGTTCCAGTCAAAGTTTGTGTTTGAGTCAAATCTAAAAGAGTCTGGATGGAAACAATGATAATGTTTTTTAACTTTTACACTTGTAGCATATCATCATGTACATGAATGCACTTGCCATACTTTTTCAGCTCCTGTTTGGTTTCAAGGAGGATTGTTGAGCCCACTTATCATCTTATTCCTCATAACATCTTTACGCCTGTTCCTTTAACTCCCATTTTTATTTCAAAGTGTGCCAGGAAATGCGAAGAAGGTTGGAAGGGGCACGTGGCAGATGGGGTGTTAGCAACGGGTGCCAGTGAGCTGAGAGACAGGCAACAGAGGGGATGGACGGGAGGGAGAAGCTGGGTAGAGGAGTGTGTGTGGGGGGGATTTAGGTTAAAACCAGATGATTAACTTTCGTTGGGGACAGGCAGCCGGCCAGGGAGCCAGCCGGGCGGCCGGCCAGGCATCAGGCTTCAACCTGGCGGGCACATGAGCTATTTCGAGAGGGTTAAGAAAAGACAAGGGATTGGGGGAGGGCAGGAGAAAAGGAGGGCGTTCAGGAGTGTGATAGCGTGGGTCCACTTAAGAACGCCCACTCTCCTTTCTTTCGTTCTTCAACACCCTTCCCTCCACCCCACGCCCTCCCGCCCTCCGTCCTTCTTCCCAACCTGGCTGAACTGAGCGGTTAACCAGCAGCGGCGGCCACAGCAATGTGTTAGTCACGCAACGCCAGCGAAGCACAATGTCACTGTCACACCGGGTCATCGCATCCAAGAATCACCTCACTTGCCTTGACGGCTGCTTGACACACACGCACACACAGTGACCTGTTGTTCTTCTAATTAACTGCTTATACATCATTTACTAATGCCAACTCTATCCTTCATAGTGTGATAAATAATCACAACATGTTCTGGTGTTTGTCATTTTTAGTTTTTTAAGGTTTGGTCTTTACAAAAGAGGTCATGAAAATCGTTTTTGTTGGTCAGTTTGAATTATAACTTCTCAATGGCAGGAAGAAAGAGTGTGTATTTATGTATGGGGGATGGGGAAGGCTGGGTGAGGGTATTAAAGGGTTAAAGACAATGCTCCTCAAGACACCAAGGTTGTGTGCCGCAGATGCTGCCGTCCGAAGGCCAGTGTGTGTTTGGGTGTGTTTTAAGGAGGGTTGACCCCAAGCCTGTGCACTTCTACGAAGTGTGACTCATAGAGTGCATATGTAAGTCATCGCTATAGCTTTTTTTTTTTACCAACTAAATGTTTTCTTATCCAGTTCACTTAAAAACTACTTCATCGTGTCAGAAATTACTCATTAACGTGCAAAACAGGTCAAGTTTTGTTCTTACCACATACATTGATATATGTCCCTTGTCAGCAAGGTGCTTGCACATGCTACAAAAAAAAAACCCATTCACATTTCCTGTGAAATTCATAATATACATTATCACAAGTTGTGACAAGGAAATCTCATGATGGATGAAGGTGTGTCTCATTGCCACATCTATAGGTAGAACATTTTGTAATCAGGGCTTTTAGGTTTTGAAACAATCAGTCTGTAGAGCTAGGAGAATCAGTATTATCTTTTAAATTGCTTTGTATTCCTTTTTCTTTGCTGTTTTAGAATCAGTGAATTATTTTCATTCATTAAGTTTACAAGATAATCAACAGGTGACACTGCTTCCTCTCTCTCTCTGGTATTTATGAGGTTAGCAGGACAGAGGTCAGTGGAGTAGGTCAGAGAAAGTGTAATTCTCTTCATTCGTTTAACTCATTAGTGTCAAAAGTGTGTCGCCCAAATGCGGGTTTAAACTTGGCTCTAGAGCTTTCTGGGTCAACATGACACAACTGCAACTCAGGCCAACAACCTGCTGGACATAAGTATTATTATATGTATAGAGTTTAAATAGAAGAACTAACCAAATGGATAATTCCTTAATTAGTGCTTGAAACATCAACTTTTGGATGCTCTTGTGACCCGAGAGATGACGTTTTATGTTTTATATGAAGACCTAGAAGGTTAGGGTTAGATTCTGTGGACTCTAAATCTAAAGATGTATTTGGTCTTTGTTCCAGGTGACAGGCGTGTTCAGCAAAGAATACATACCTCAGGGGACTCGCTTTGGCCCCCTGCAAGGCGTCATCTACACCAAAGACAATGTCCCCAAACAGGCCAACAGGAAATACTTCTGGAGGGTAAGGAAAACACACATACAATATATACACATGCCGCATGGCCGTGCATAATAACATTTAGGCATCAATGCGAATAGTCGAGGATCAACTGTGGACATGCATTCATCTTCCTCTATTATTCATGAAAAACAGATGTTGCTCAGATACAGAAGTTTCACATCAAGTCTGTGACAATACGTCAATAAGGAAACAAAAATGCTTTCACACAGAGTTGAGGGTTTTTGGTAAATTTTTTTAGAGGAAGTTGTGAACTAGTGGCACGTAGAAGGATTCACGCTCACACAGTCATCAGAGCCTTACTGGCACTATGCAACAAGTGTCACATACACAAAGGAAGGGACAATTGTTTAATATTCATACACACAGAAAAACAATCCCTGCCTTTCCGCTCCCCTTTTATTCTTCATGTCCCATGTTTCTATTCTCTCTCTTATCCAGACACTGCTTATGTCACTTAGGAAATTTTCTATTCTGCTGAGTCAATTCCCATAAGGACTTTTTGCTGTCATCCTACGTATTTTCCTTCCGGCTTTATTTCCTGTAAACCTGTGCCAGGGGTGTTCCTGTCCCAGTGCAATAGTGAAAGTCTGATGTTCGTCTGGAGTGGTTGTTTTAAAAAAACTCATGACACGGGCGCAGGAAGAGGGTGGACCTGCTGCTAAAGGCACGTCTGCATGCCTGTGTTGTTGGCTGCCTGCCAGCACCTGTCAGGCAGGCAGAAATATGTCTCCCTTTCATCTTGCTTGTTTTCATAAGCCAAAATGTATATTAAATGCTTAAAGAAGCAGTTAAGTGTAGTATACTACTAGCACGTAGCCTATTTATGAAACTAAATGACAAGAGAAAACAGAAACAATAATACTCAAGAAGTGAGAGAGGCAGCGATTTCTTTCAGAGGCCACACCTCCATCTCTCAGCTCAAATAGTGACAGCAAATGCATAAACAGACACAAGAGTGCAACACTCAGAGAGAGCAGATCAGGAGGGCACAGACTAAAGGACTGTAACTAATACCTGAAGAGGATAAAGGATATTTAACTGTACATGGCAGAGGTGATTTTTCAGACTTTTTTTCTCTATGATCTTGATTTATTTAAATGTATTTTCCATAGATTGTTTTGTTTTTAAAATGATTTTAATCAGCATCTTGATCAGCTTCAACAGTGTCAAATATTATTTAAAACTTTAAGAATTTGAGCGTTAATTCAACCATTTGCGGTATTTAATATTTCATCCAGTACTGATTATGTTACACACAAGTCAAGTTTTGGTGTACATGTTTTAATCCCATCTTCTCTCTCTTCTTCTCCTGCAGATTTACAGTGGTGGGCAGCTTCAAAACTTCATTGACGGCTACGACGTCCACAGGAGCAACTGGATGCGTTATGTCAACCCGGCCCGCTCTCTGGCCGAACAGAACCTGGTGGCGTGCCAGAACAATGGGGACATCTTCTTCTATACCATCAGACCAGTTGAGGCCAATCAGGAGCTGCTTGTGTGGTACAGCCAGGAGTTTGCCCAGCGGCTCTGCAGCCAGGAGGTCGACATCAAACAAAGTGAGTGCAGCAGGAGCAGAAGCTTTTCTAGTTTTGTATCAGGATGTGATGGCCTCTTAGGCAGGAGGGGTAAAATATCTTGAGGCACAGGAAGGAAAAGAGCTTATGTATGCAAAGTTTAGTGGAAGTTGTTGGGAGTACAGCGTCTTGGCTCCATTTTGTAAATAAAACTTAACTTCACAAACAACCAAAACAACTATCTTGTTAGGTGAACTTGATTCCCCTGTGACCTTGCAATAATCGTCCTGCAAAATGATTTAGTGAGAAGGAGTGACAGCTGATTATGAGTTGTTTTGATGGTGAGTCAGCCCAATGACAAACAAGGATTCGAATTATTTTTCATACCAAATCTGATAAAAAAGTCAGATTTAGATCTGCCGTGACTAAACACGTAGCGCAAGATATATTTCAGAAGATGATAGTTATATCAGCAAAATTCTTTCACTTCAAAGTGAAAAAAACCACAGTATTCCCTTTCTGCGAATAAGACCTGATGTTATCTTTTACCAACAGTAAAGATAGTTGGTTTGATGCTATTTCTTCCTGTCTGATTTACTGTAGAGAACCAAATAATTATGTAAGATCATGGAGAATACACACACATACGCAAGACCAAACAAATCTCAGTAGTTCATGAGATGCGGTAAATGACGTGGGATTGAAAGGAGAGTGGATAAATCTAAGGGGAATAATGCCCGGTCAAAGTACCTTTGTGAGTCATTTGTTTTCAGCCATAAGTAGAATTGCTAGTCATACCCTCATCATCCTGAATGATTCTCTGTTGCCACAAAGTCTGATGACTCATGCCAACTGGATATACCAGATGCATTCATCTTAATGACTAATGTTAAGGCGTTATCATTACTTAAAGGTTTTAAAAGCTTTCACCTTCCTACTTTTGTCAAAGTCCAGGTTTGATCATTGTTTGTCTTCCGGGTTTGACTTTCTGATATATCATGAAGGCGATCTAGTTATGCAGCTCACGTACTGGCGGTTGAGGCTTGGGGGCGGCAGTGCCTGAACGCAAAAACCGAGAGATAATTTTGAATCAGTTTGGGCCTTTCAAATGCATTACTGGGCACCTTTAGCTAAAGAAACTAGTGGCTGCATTTAAGATCACATTTAAAACATTCAAAACACTATGGTGTGATTTGGTAAATTGTCAAAATGTACAAATCAACTGTGTTATGTATTACGGGATGAGCACAGTAGAATGATATGAAACAACAGTTGACATGCAAAGACTTTCTGAAAAACAGAAAGAGAAGGAAAAAAGGAAGAGATGTTTCACATTTTCTTGTGGCCAGTACGGTATGACAGCTATACCAAGAAAAGGTTGCACGAATGAAACTCAGAATCTTGCCGTACAACTGCTTATACATGACATGACACATGGACTCCCACACACTTCACTATCGACCCATTCTCCCACACAAAACACTACTGTGATTGATAAACAGAAACCTGTACCGTATGATTTACGTGTCAAGTCAAAACTGAAACTACTATCATTTACCATAAGAGGGAGTGCCTTCTGTGGGCGGATGTGTGCTTGTGTGTGTGAGGCATTGTCACTTAAATTTAGAAATTAAATAGATATTATAATGAGCTACAAAAATGAAATGTGGGTTTCATAGTATTTACTAATCCAGTTCTGTGAGGATATTTAATACATTTTAATTTTCTTTTTCACAGAATACATGAGTTCTGATGAACACCATGAGTTGGAGTACACCAAACAGCACCTACCTCAGCAGACATGGCTCAAAGAAAGAACAAAGGAAGAGGTGAAAGAAGAGAGGGATGAAGATGAGGAAAAGATAGACGTGGAGATGTTGGAGAGAGACACTCCGCCTGACACACCTGACGACCAGATCATGGACTTCAGCAAAAAGGTTGAGAAGGAAGAGAAGAGCAACAGAGATCCAGAAGACCGGGGGATCATTCCTTCCCCTCAGCCTGAACACAGAGAGCCCAACCTGGGCTTAAATCAGCCATACCTACCAGAGCACCATCCTGCACTCCCATCCCCCCACCGAAATCTGCCTCTTCACCTCCACGGCCTCTATGGCCACAGGGAGGGCCTTGTTTCATCTTACCCCCTTTACCCCCAGTCCAGACCCCTCCAGCCCACTTACCAGCTCCTTCCTCCCTACGGCCCGCACTATTCTCGCCTCCTCCTCCCCTCGTACTCCCCTCCCTTTCCTGGGATGCTGCCTTCAAGGGCATCCCTCCGATACAGCAGCTATCTAGGCACAGATGGACTCCCGTATCCACCCATCAGCCAGCCTAATCTACTTCCAGTGTCCCTCCCCTACCCTCCGTCACCACAAGGGGGTCTGAAAGAACTAACACCAAATGTGTCGCCACCTCGAGGCGCCCCAGCCACCCCAGAGCTGTCCCCTCTCCCCAAACCCAGCAGTCAGCATCAGTCTCCGGAGCACTCACCCTCTGGTTGCGAAGAAGCCATGAATCTAAGCCTTGCTATGACCAAAAGTAACACAGCACCACGAAATGGCCCTGGCCACAAATCCCTACCCTACCCATTGAAGAAGCAGAATGGAAAGATCAAGTATGAATGTAATATCTGCTCGAAGACTTTTGGACAGCTGTCTAACCTCAAGGTAACAGCTTCAATAGATCTCTCTTGTAATTATAATTGTATTTAATGTATTCCAATTTTTAGATGCAAAATTCTAATTCTAATAATTTTCCATTTGACACCAGTGCTCACTACTTTTTTTGTATGATCTGTTGTAGGTCCATCTCCGAGTACACAGCGGTGAAAGACCATTCCAGTGTAACCTATGTAAAAAGAGTTTCACTCAGCTGGCCCACCTCCAAAAACATCACTTAGTCCACACTGGGGAGAAGCCACATGAATGTCAGGTATGTTGAAAAATCATAACCTAAATGTGTGTTTTCTTGTCTCTTTACAAGCTTAATTACAAGCCCTTTACTGATCTCACCATGACAATGTAAAATTGAGAGTCACGAGACAATAAACACACATGATACACTCACATACACATACTGACATACCTTTTCATTCAGCCACTACGCACCTTGTTATGTAATAGCATCTTTATTCCTTTGTTTGCTAAAGTGTGACTCTATGGGTGTGAGTGTCAAGAGTGAGGATAGAACTGGTCTTACAAAGAAAGTAAATTAGTCACTGTCAATTTATGAAAGTGACCCAAAGAACTGGAATAACACAGTCAACCCTGATTCTATGCTATTAATAACATCAAAATGACATCATGCTGTACTGCTAGGAATAAACCTAAACACAATCAATTCTTAAGGTGTTAGTCATGTGAATGTTGCTCACAGAAGCCTTAACCTTTCATTTCATGTTTTTTAGGTATGTCACAAACGTTTCAGTAGCACCAGCAACTTGAAAACACACCTGCGCCTCCACTCTGGGGAAAAACCTTACCAGTGCAAGCTGTGCAGCACCAAGTTCACCCAGTACATCCACCTGAAACTGCACCGCCGCCTCCACAGCAGCCGCGACCGCCCCTACCACTGCCAGCTCTGCGCCCAGGCCTTCTTCCACCGCTTCTCCCTCCGCATCCACCAGCGCAGCTGCTGTCTGGCTAACTCCAATGCTCCTGTCAACATACAGATGAAGGAGATGGTGGAGCGGTTTGACGCGAGCCAAGAGGCCGACACACTCACAGAGACAGCATCTGCGCCGCAGGTGGAGGAAGCTGTAGAGCACTGGTTGGCTCGCACCTTGGAAGGCGAGGGGAAGGAAGACCAGAGAGAGGCCACCATACTGCTGAAAGCTCTGACAACGGCTATTAACGCACCAACAATGCCCATGGCCCAATCAGCTGTATCTACATCACACCACAGCCCTCCGCTGGCCTATCAGGAGAGGGCCAGCGTTGTTCATCTCCACAAACGACCAACAGTGAAGACAGAAGGAGAGTAAGAAGGAAGGGAAAGATGAGAAAATATAAAAAGGACATACAGCATACCATCAACAAAAAACAGAAACAGATGTCGCCAAATAAAACTCTATATTGTCCATGAAGGAGAATAACAGAGAAAATAAACTTCCATAATCCAATGAGCGCAGCACCAAAAGAAGAGCATTCCAAAGACTGAGCGTATTCAGTGATTGTACTTCCTCCTGAACGTCAGTTTAAAAAATGAAAACAGGGAGGATGTTGTTAAGCTATGAAGTATTTAAAACTCTTTTCACTCAGGTAGAGAAGTGTTTGCTTTTTTGTGCTTTAACTTATTACTTTAAAAAAAATTGAGTCATTTATATTTATTTAGTTGTATCATAGTTAGATTTTTTTATGCTAGTGCTTTTTTCATATGTGTTGACATTTCCACGGGGATTTGATCTCTTAGGGAAGCCTAAAATGGACTCAGGAACAACTTGTGGATGAGTCTTCACTTGTTATATTGTGCATAGTTTTACTTTTTTGTGTGACCGTGTGTTTGAGCTTTTGGGTGCATGTGTACGACAAGTGGAACAGGGCACAGTGATAGCACAATCCACCTCTCTGCTCCTCAGCTATTTAATTTATTTATGATACAAAAGGGAAAAATCTGGCATTTTGAAAATATGTATTAATAAGCAATTGCCAAAATTACAATCAAGGAACATGAATGTGTAGCACCAGTTTTGGATCAATTTGCAACTCATTCTAACATTAGTAGGGAGGAAAGAGGTTCAGACAAAGCATTATTCACCTTTTTTCTTGATTATTCAGCAACTTCTCACACGTTAATTTAGATGTCAGCTAATTGACAAATAAAAGTATCAAACTGTGGTAAACAAAACCAAATGCCACCAAAAGAAACAAAATACTAAAAATGCAATGTGATCACAGTATGAAATGTGTCTACGAGATCCTTTGATAAATGGCTTTTATTGTTTCTTACTGCAATGATTTTACATTGAAACTTGCTGAATAACTACGTGAATCGTTATTTACTGGATTCAAATGTTTCAGATATTTTTCATGTACAAAGCTTTATTGGAAATGTTTGTAAACTCAAGCTTCATCCAAATCTTAATTCAGACACCAGTACCTCATATTCAGCATTGGGCAACAAAAACAAGCAACACAGGAGCACAATTTTATAACATTGTTAATATTTTTGTCACTTAGCACTGGAATAAAAATGCAACTAGATCTGTGTGCTTTTGGTGTTACCCACAACCAGAAGATGGGAAGATTTTACTCTTGAGCCAGTAATGTACTTTTTTCATATCGTAGTTATTATTTCTTTTGTACAATATGTTTGTCTATGTAGTTTATTTTTGGAAACAGGTTCTGAGATGTTAAGAATTTATATGTGAGAGACTATTTTGATGATACTTTTATATTTACACGATGTAGCATATTAAAGATATTGTTTCATATGTCTAGTATTTTGTGTGTGTTTTCATGCTGGTATAAACATTTGAATAGTGAACAATACAGCAACTGGGAGGAAAGGAAATAAATAATTCCTAAAATCCCACGTTTGAAATCCAGTTTAGTTTGTTAAAATCAAAGTAATTGAAATATTTCCAGCCGCTGAATATAAATGGTTGCATCTTCAAAGGTAGTTTCCTCTATAATTACAAAAATTGTACCAAGCATGTGATTGGATTGTTTCCAAATTAGTATGGGGTGACAACAAAAGTAATACTGTAACTGCTATTTTCTAACAGTAATATTATTACTGAAATTTTATAGTAATTACTGGGGAAAGTAATATTATTACTGTAATATTAATATTAGGAATGAGTTACTGCCTAAGACTGCTAGTAGTAGTAATAGTTGACATCACTATACCGTTCACTATTCACAATCTGACCCCACCTTACCAAATAAAAGTATCCAATCTTTTATTTGAATTCAGTCAGCCAACTCTGTGTAATGGATCGTTATGTAAATGATGCTCTGACATTGTCCCTGACACTCTCTACAAGGAAACAAAACTCAGCACAGCAGAGAGTGGCAAGTAACGACAATAACACCCCTTGCAGGAAACACAGACTTAGAGCTTCTACAACTGGGGCTTATGAAATACTGTTTCAACATTAGCAGCGCTGACAGCAAAACGTTTCATGTGAATTGTGTGGCATGATATATGTTGCAGTTTGTGAGAAGTGACTTGACTTGAATTCCCTAAACAGGCATTTAGTCATTGTCAGCTAATATCTATCCATGTATATATTCTCTTCAAGCATCACTGTTCTTCACTAATTTTACATTCAGTTTTAATTCTTGTTTACCTTAGTTATTTTGATTAAGTTGATTGTTTTAATCAATGAAAAACATTGTTGGCATTAGTGATTTTGGTCTAAATTTCTTTTGTCAAATTGGCCCTTCCACTTCTAGAAACCACCTTTTTAAATGACCCACTCTCTGGTGGAGTCATCCAGGGGTCCATATTGGGTCCCTTGCTATTCTCCTTGTTTGTGTTCCCTTAATTATGGATGCGATATTTTTTCATATAATGTTGATGTCCTATTTTTCACCAGTTAATTAATTACAAGTAATAGATTCATCTTCCCAGTCCCTGCAGGAGTTACAAATATATAGTCTTCTCTTAGTTTGTGCAGACTATTGGCCAAAATGAAAAGGTTCCCTGGGGAGTTTTCTTGTAAACAAACAAACAGTGGTCTGCGTTACAACTGGTTTTACAATCACACTATAACCTGTCTCATGGCTATTTGATATGGGATCACTGACTTACTATGTCAAAGTAGCCAGAAATGCATGCGGCCATTCTAACATAACTCTTACAATGACATAGATATTGGGCTTGTATATTGTAGACAGAAACACAATGTATACTCCCTTGCAACAGTCCCACCCTACACTTTCCCCTTATTGGTTCACTTTTCAAACTCTTCCCTAGAAAATACAGGAAATGAGACTAATCATTTACTAATGAAACTCTGAAAAAGCACTGCTTATGTCAGGATATTACAAAATCACAACTGTAATGCCACATACCCTGTTGGAGTCATTGTTACTGACCAATGCTGACAATAATTACAGTAAGGAATGTTGCAGGTGTTGAGTATCATGTCATTGTGTATTTTGGTTTTATTTTAGAACATTTATTGGAGAAAAATTGCCCTGAGGTAAGAAATCTTATTTGAGGTCAAAGTAACTGATTACCACTAAGCACCTTTTTCTCAGACAGGACGTTGAAGGATAGATAGTTAAACGTATTTACGGGCACAGCAGGCATACCTGAACAAACATGAAACCCCAAAATATGATTCTAATTTGATCATTGTCGTTTCATGGCAGTGAGACACACTTTCAAACAACAATAGCTCTGGCAAAGTTACTGTAAGTATGGTTTGTTCTTTACAGTAATTCTCTTACAGTCTCCCTCTCTCTCTGTCTCTTAACCACTTTCTTTTTCTTTTTGCTGTGCAATAACTCCTCAGTCTAGTATTGGGGAGAACCCCAAAGCAGACACCTACACACCACTGACCAGAATAAAAACACCTCAGACATTTATATCTGCAGTCAAACTGCAGTGGTGACAGGAAATCCATGTCTTCTGGCAGGCAGCCTGCCACACAAATCCTATTGTTCAAATAGGCAGTTGAAGCAGATAGCATAGTTAAAGTTAGAGCAAATGTAAAATACCTGTGTACTGTTCTGATGAAGGTAAGAGAAAAGACAAAACATAAAATGATAACATCCAATGTAACAAATGTCCTTATCTCTGACATATAACTAGTTGAGTCCCCTTCAAACTACAGACAGCCCTATTTATACACCACATCCTTTGAAACATGAGGTAATTTACATGAAGGCCCCCACATATAAATACTAACTACATTCTTACTACTTGCTAGTAAATCACTAAACTAGTGATTTACCAAATCAAGTTGCACCATTAAAACTTAAGAAATGTCTAAGATCTTAGTAATGTGTAAATTGGTTGCTGGGAAACATCTGTAGCTTTGTCCAGTCAAAAACAATCAGCTTTGTTAACAGAAACATAACTGCCTATCCTTTGGTATGACGGTTTAGAATGAATGGGAAATATCTGGTTATGCTATCATTGAGCCTAATATAATCCAAGGTATATTCTGTTATGTGTCTTGATTTAGAAAAGATCAAAATTGGTCAAAATCCAATTAATTAGAGACAGCATTGTCATTGAGAGTACTGTTGGCTGCCTGGTTGAGAGTACAGGTCTCAAATGAAGCAGACATCCTGTTGCTTTCTCTTATTCTTTGAAAACAGACATCATTTAGTTTCTCTCTGTCATTGGCCAGCTGTATAGCAGAGTCAACAGGACATCCTTTAACTTGCCACATTGAGAGATTGACAGGCAAAAATGAAAGAAACACACAAAAAGAAAAGAAAACTAAACACAGTAGTGTTATGTTGGGCAATGCCACTATAGTGTTGTAGCCATTCTAGTGAATGCAAAACTTGTTCTACCTCTTCAAGAGTTCATCATCAGGTCACCGGAAAAGGGATAACTTTTGCATTCACCATGCCTTCACATTGCTGCCATTAAGTGTATTCTTCACAAGGAAGTTCTTTTCAATAAATGTTACAGGGTTTCAATCAAAAGTTCCATGGAAGTTGTTATCTTGCTTTAAATTGCATCATCCATGTAATTGCTTCTTGTTTAGTTTTTTCTCTAAAAATTTTAGATGTTTATGACTTTGAAGGGCAAATTTGCGGTTTCTCTCAGTAAAATACATGCTGCGGGCCATTATGTCATACAAGAATCATTGCTTCAAAGTACAATTGCATGTGAAAGCTGAGTCATTTCCTTTCAATATTCCAAGAAACAGTATACCTTAGGGGCAAAAAACACTAGCCTCAACTCTTTTACTCATAGTGCAGTAAAGTGCTGATTGACTGCTCTTATTAGGTTGAAACATTTGAGTATGACATACCTCTCTAGCCACAATCTAATCTGTGGTACTTTTACTTTTACTGGAGCGCTGTGGACCATCAAAACTGAACCCTGACCCCACTTTGCTGACTCATAATGGATGCTACAGTGACATTACTGATTCTGGTGCGTGTAAGTGCAATTCACTTACCCTGGACAGTTCAGTGTGTGATTACCATTATGTTAACAGGACATTTAGAAGCATTGTCTGGACACAGTTGGTGTCAATGACATTATATCCACTTCTTTCCTTAGAAATAATTATAATCCTAAAGTGACTCAATGTATGAAAAGACACAGTGAGGGAAGGAGAGAAATTAAGGCAAAAACAAAGAAAGAAAAGAAAGGAAGAAGCAGAGTTTGGAAGTCACTTATGCTCAGGAAATTCACTGAAATCAGGTTTGTTATTTTCAGTACCAAATAGACTGTGGGCTGGTTACAAGCTCTCATGAGCATATTACATATATCATTTATTTTTACTGAAATCAGTAGAAAAATCTAAATCAGTATCAGCAGTAACAGCAACAAAACACCCTGTTATTACAAAATCACTTAAATTTGAGTTTCCCAACAAGTTTTACATAGTTGCAAAGAAGTTGTTTTAGTAGTAGTGTTTTAATTAGGACATTTTACTTTTAAAAGTTTTTGACCATGGTTCTGTATTGTGGCTTAGCCTAGATATCTCCGCAGACAGTTTGCCTAGCTGTAGGCCGTTGCGTTTAGGCAACAGCTGCTGAGAGTCAAGACATGATGGAGCAGTTTAGAGTTCACTGACCTAAACAAGGAAACCTGTAGAGACAACGTAGAAGACTGATGTTTATAACAAATGGCAACATTTCCATACTCTAAACAGTCCCCTAGCAACAATTAATAAATGTGTTACAGTAGCAGTGGTTTTGCCTGTAGGCAAGTTTCCTTGTCCTCTTACTTGGAAGAGACTGATTGGGTAATCTCCAAGTATCTTTAGCATGTTTAATTTGAAGAAGAACTGCTTTAACCCTTGAGCATCACACGACTTTCTGTTTTATTTCAACAGAAAGATTCCAGGGATGATAATGTTAAATGGCAGGTGCCATTTATGAGGGTGAGGGTGCATTGACTGCCAAAAACAGAAAGAGAGAGACTTTGTTCTGATGACAACGTTTCCTTTCAGATTTAAGTTGGCTGGCTGATAGTCAGTGATTGATGAGCACAAACAAAAATTTTTATTCAAACTCAAATTACAGGCTTCTGTTTTCAGATGTGCGTGCCTTTAATCACATATCTTTGGGATTCATTGCTTGCATTTATCCTTACATCATTAACTCCAGTATGATTTCATTGTTTGACTTTCGGTTGCAGATGTTTTTTAGTCAGCAGTGACGGCCATATACATGGGTGTGGGGCACTAAGTAATAACACAAGGTTGTGATGTCAGCTAAATGGGTCTAAAGGTTTAACATATAAAGATAAAAATGTTGGTTTATGTCATCATATTCAGTGAGTTCACTTTAGTAAAGAAGCTCTTAAACAATATTGATCCGTTCTCGTAACTCTCTCTAAATGCTTGAGAATTAAATATTTAACCTACTGTTGATTAACTAGGACTTTTAAATATTTTATTGCAAAAATGATAACATTCTATTTCAGAGAATTGTATTATCAGTTAGAAAACATGCTAACAAAAGAGAGTGACACTTATTCTTACAATATTTAGCACTATTTAAACATATCATGCTTGGCTGTTGCAGTAAAACAATACCCGATCAGAAGTGGACTGTTTATTAGCAAACTAGAGAGTACTTTATCGTGTTTTGTCCAATCGATGGGCACACTGCCGGGCCTTCATCACGTTTCCACTGAAAAAGCAACCTAAATGGAATTTTAGAATGTTTTATCTACCATCAGGGCATCCAAGAGGACACTTTTGCAAAATTTTTTTAACATGGGGGCACCAGGGGTGTGATTGCTCATTTATTCTTTCTCTGACAGAGGGTAAGATGGAAAGATTGATACCACTCTCATATCTCCTTAACTTCCTGCATTCCCCACTGGTTGCCTGGCAACTACTCAGAACCAAGAAATAGTCCAACATACAAAGGTGCAAATTGTTATTTTACACTCTTTTGCATGGAGGTGGTGGATTTTGTCCCTGTTTGACAGAGACGGGCTGGCTATTTCTTACTGTTTCTAGGTTTTTTGCTAAGATACACTAAGCTAACTGGCTGCTGGCTGTTGCCTTATATTTAAGACACAGGTAGCTGGAAGGAACAGGCAGAAGTTAATAGGGGCCCAAGAGCTCATTTTTGCCACATGGCCCCAAAGCAGGTTGACCTAGCCATGGATGTGAACATATTCAGTAATCTGTCATTTTAAAATACTGAGGTTGAGGTTTGTTTTGGTTCCTGATTGTCTTATTTCACTGGTTCCAGTGCTTTTTTTGTTTTGTTTTTTTCCGTTTTAAATCTGTAAATAAAGGAGTGCTGTGTTCCTGAGGGTTGTAACAGGGGAATCCCAGCACAGTTAGGGATACTATGATTTATTGTTTGACTTTACCTGCCTATAAAGATGAGGTCATGTAATATTTCAGTCTCATACCTTGAAAGATAAGAAATAATAAAACTACCCCTATCTCCTTATCACTAATGCTATCAGTGGTATTTACTGTTAGTGTAAAGCAATAAAAGGCAACTTCAGTCTTTGACGAACAAAATAAGGATATTTTGCAGTATCACAAGTATTTATGTGAATATATTGAATATATTGATATATTGAAGTCACAGTAAATGTGACAGTAATTTCTGTAGTATACTGAGAGGGAACAAAAAGCTTGGTTTGGGTCCTTTTTGTGTAGTTTTTTTGACCATTCATTGTCAGTTGATCGTCATTTCCTTATTAAACAAGTAGCACAGGAACTGACTTTTACTTGTTATACAGTAGCTTGTGTCTTTGATCTTGCCTTGAGCAAGGTGGTAGTGCCATCATGAGGCAAAACCACATGCATACAAGGTTGCTACCGTTGCAACATATCTGTGATCAGGTTGCAATTTGCAGACAGACCACAAGGTGTTGCAGTTGATCTACTGAGATTGCACACTGTGGAAGTATAAATACATAATGAAGAGACATTTTAACAATATAGGCTATATAAACTACCAAATCTGGAAATTTGCACAGATGCTTATTTTTATAATTGCCAAGTTTGTAATATTTATTATTAACATTATTGTTATTAGACACATAAGATATAATTTGAAGTAATGATCTATCATTCTAAAGTTTTCCAGTTTGTGTCCTTGTAAATGCTCCCAGGCAGTGGTGGAATAGGTAACTTGATATTTTACTTAAGTAAAAGTACAATACTCCATTACAAGTAAAAGTCATGAATTAAAAATGTTACACAAGTAGCCCATTGAGCCTAATGAGTACATGAGTACTAATCAATAAGATGTACTGTACTTTAAGTATCAAAAGTAAAAGTACTCATTATGCAGAGTTTCTCCTTTCACAGTATTTTTTGGAGATCATGATATTATTCTGTTTTCATCATTAAAGAATACACTGTAGTTCATCAATATGGAGCCAACTTTAGATTGTATACCGAGTTGTATAGTAGATTAGTATAGTACTGCATCTTATCATAAAAGCATATTGTATATTTTTTTTAATGTAAAAAGTAACTGACTGTGTCAAATAAACATAGAGTAGTCAAAAGTGCAGTAGGCTATTTTTTTAATGGAAGATAGACAGGAAAGGAGGGAGAGAGAGAGGATGAGATGCAGCAAAGGGCCACAGGTCAGATCAGATTTGGTCAGGGACAGACTGATAAAGCCAGGGTCTTATTTGCCACCCTGCTGTGTTGCGTCCACTATGGAGTACATTCACAGTATTTAGGTACAATTTTGAACTTTACTTGATTTCTTTTATTTTCTGCAACTTTCTACTTCTACTCCATCTCAGAGGTATATACTGTACTTTAATCCACTACATGCATTTGATAACTTTAGTTTCTTTGTAGATTCAGATTAACAATGCAAAATATAAACAACAATAAATAAATGGGGGTGTATTACTGTAATCTAAAATCAGATTCAAATAAGACTAAAGTACTGATATAAGAATAATACTTTATTGGTCCCTGGTGGTAAACTACAAGTTACCTATAAAGTCATTTCTTTAGCTCCACATTTGCCAGCTTGCCAACATTAAAGTTGAATAACACATTAAGGCATCAATAACTGTAAGCCAATAATATAATAAAAAGGGCCATTCTGCACGAGGGAAAAGCCTACTTTTACCTTTTCTTATATTTTGATGCTTACACTATTGTACTTTTAAGTAACATTTTCCTTTTGAATGCAGGACGTGTACTACTAAGAAAGTATTCCTAGACACACAGACAATTAAACACAAACACACACATCTCCGGTTTTTCCTACGCTCTCAGTGTACATACACATAATAGGCAAACATACAGCAGAATAAACAGGACAGGACAACAAGCTCGACCAGGTAAACACAAAATACATTGTCATATAAACTTCACATATATCTTTATATAAACTTCACATATATCTTTATTTCATGGCATAAAACAGTAGTGGACCAAGATCCTTCGAAAAGCAGTGTCACTGGGAGGCTTTCTGGGTTCTGGGTGTTGCTCCTCAGGGTGGGGCGTGTCGCCACACCTGAGCTCTGCGTACTGCACAGAAAATGAAGCAGCAGGAGCAGATGTCATCTTTCAACAGTTGCCATCCGAGCAGTTTTTTTTTTCCCCCACTCCCCGACTGTTTCCATCAGCGGATCTTCATCGGGAAGTGAGCGGTTGTGACTCGTGTGTGAAGACCCTCGGCGACCTCGCCTACCAGCAGAGATGGCGAAGAGTTCATCCAGAAAGTCCCTGAAAAGTTTGTTCTCCAGGAGCGAAGCCAGCCTGGACGCCCCGCCGCCGGTGGTGGAGAAGGATGTGGACAAGAATGAGGGAGAGAAGAAGAAGTTTAGGTTCTTTAAGTTCAAGATCAAGTCGAAGAGCGGCTCTGCCTCCGAGAAGCCGGCTGGTGGGAGCCAGCAGGTGCTCAGGTATGCTCGCAGAATGTGAACTCGCATTACACTCGTTTTCATGCCTATGCATGTCATATGGCTTCTCGCGGAGGGGGCAGCAACATGAAGCCGCTACTGACGCTGTAAAGCTGCAGATGGCCTACCTCGTGTGCCAAAATGTGTTGCTTTAAACTCCATCCAGTTTTTGAGCTTTAAAATGAACCCATGCTGTTTTTGTAGTGCACTTTTTGTCATACAGCATTAACCCCTGAAGGTATCTTGTGTGAGGTTTTGGATTGATGCTTTCTCAGCTGAGCCTCCAGCATGCTTGTGTTCCATGAGGCATCAGTGCACTAACTCCCATATATGCCCAGCAGTCAGTGCATGCATTTAACAGGCAATAACAAAGGGTTTAATTAGGTAAATGAAGCTGAAAGGGGTATTTTCAGCACCATGCCAAACCAATTTCCTTAGATCTCCCATATGACTTTGAAAAACATTCAGTTACTAGTGATTTAGCCCAGCCCACAAGAACAGTTCTGTCTAGACAGGACTAAAACCCATACAATGCAATTCTCTCAGTCGTTACATAACTGTGGCAAAGAGCAAATTAAATATGCACAAATTCACCTTTAGCTCTCTGAAAGCTTGCAGGATTGTTCACAAAAAAGTCAGCAAGCAAAGTTAGTGTGTAATAAATAGCAGTGGTTGTTTGTATTTCTTAGACAAGAGAGTGGGTTCTCTTCTACAGAGGCCACCATGTAAAACTGCCAGGTTTCTACAGTAGCCCAGAATGGACAAATCAAACACTGGCTCTTGATAGGGCCTTTTACGTTTATCGTGAGTTTTGCAGCCACTATTGTTTCTGCTACATGCTAGGAATCTTTATTGCTAGATGCCCCTGAATCATATACAGTGGACATTTAAATCAAACATACTGTGGCATTATTAGGCATGTAATATGTTTTAGTCAGAGGCAAAATACATAATTTAATATCCATTGTATTTTATTCTTTTGAGGATACCAGAAAAAAAGTACTGCATCCATTAACGTGGTCATGTAACAGAGCTGAAAGTTAGTCAATTAAGTGATGAGATACCAGAAATTCTCTGGTTCTTTCTTCTTAATACTGACATTTTCTGATTTTCTTAGACTTCTATGATATTAAAATTAATATATTTGGCTTTTTGACTGTTAGTTGGGCGAAAAAAACAACCATAATACGTAAACTTTGGCTTTGGGTTACTACTGTTGGTTATTTTTTTATTATTTTCAGACATTTTAATGACTAAACGATTGATTGATTGACAAAGTGACAACAAAGTAGACCCTGTCTGATACTGGCATTTTGGCACCGTTTTCTGTTATCAGTAAAGAAATAACATTCATGAAAGGTGAAAAAGATGCGAAATACAAGCACGGATCCCTGAAATCTAGGGCAGGCTGTTGAGTAATAAAGTCATTACTCTAACTGAGCTGGAAACACCATCTGCCAAACGGTGATATGGCCAGTTGTAAACAATACAGGATGCTTGACAAGCTAGACAACCAATAAAATGACTGCCTTAAAAGTATGATCCTTTAAATAAAGTGGTCAGTTTTTCTGAATTGCTACCAATATATATTAGTGATTACCTAATATTGGCAGATAGGTACAGTAGGTCCGTCAGTCCAAACAAGTGTAGTACTGCTAGACTCACTCTTCATGTTGCTTTAGATCATCATTGCTACTATCAGTCGACTGCACTGATAAAGGCGATATACAGTATATACCAGCTTTTGCTTTCAACCATAAATGTGCTAAAATGTAATGATGTTGATGATGATGATATGTAACTTCAACTTGCAAGCATTAATCACAGGCACAATCATTATTCTCATAACACCAGACAGCATTGTGAGAACACAATACCTCTCTCATTATCATTGCTGGTAGTTGGGCTAAAGAAAGAACTGGGTGATAGTGTTGTAATAGGCAAGTGTAACTTCACCTTGGAGCCTATAGAGACATTTTGTGTGCAGCTGCTGGTTGGGTGGAGAAATTAAGCAGTATCATACATACAAGAAACGCTTTTAATGTTCAGTTTGGATGTGATCGACACTTGAAATGTTTATACAAGAGTAAAGGGACAGCGCTGTGGTTAATCCTGATACAATATATAAGCAATAAACACACAGGTGAGGCAGTGTGTTTATGCAAGTCCCATGCTATGACAATGATACGGTTGGTTGTAGACCAGACAGAGTGACAGCTTGTGTTTACACAGGGAAAAGTAAAATAAATGATGATGAGCTGACACTGCAAGGAGTGCCTTTGTACACAAGAGCTGCACACAGGGGTTACACAAGGGTAAAACTCAGCAGTGCATGGAGGATACACATTCAGTTAGAATGATAGAGTATAATTAAGCTTCACGTTATTCATTTTCAGGACAAAAGTATAATTAATTAAAACAGAATCATTTTTCTTAAACGCCACTATTATTAATCACAGTCACTTCTTGTAATGAGCTACTATATTAGCTTTTCTATAAAAGGATATGCAGTGCATGAATGCATTCTTAAGTTTTTTAAATTGTAGATGAATGTCAAATCCAGACATAGACTAAATCTGTTTTTGTTTTTAGTTAGGGATTTAGATTTAATCCTTGGCCAGGGTTTTATCTGACAAAGACTTGAGGATTTCAGGGTCTGTGAAAGACGTCTTCAAGGTATTTTGTTTGTTTTTGATTCCGTAGCATTTCATAGAGTTCAAGGGGATGTCAGAGTCATATTGGGGAGATTTGACACTACAGAGGAAGCACTCAAGTCAAACACTCACAGTATTAGTATCTGGTAAGGTTTGTTGGGCTTCCGAGTGGAGCTGTGGATTAATAGAGGTACTGTAGAGAAACCTACCACTCCACATGCCTATTGCATTGTCATGAAACTACTAATCAATTACACAATTGCACACACACACAATGTGGCAATGGATGCAGGTTAGCAACATATTAGTCACAGTTGAGATGTGTCAACTCAAGTGTGTTTAAATTTCTGACATAATTTAGAACAATTAAGTTCAAAATGAGTCACTGCATTGTGGAACCTGTTGTCTTTGTGTAGGAACTGTAAGCAAGTTAACTCTGTTGTTACTGAAAGTGATACACACTCCGGCCTCTCGGTCGAAACACTTTATTATCCTCACAGAAAACTGCTGAATGAACTATTTATTGTGACTTATCCTCCTATTGTCAGTCAATGTGAGTTACTTGTACAGGACACATGGAAACAGAATGAGTAAAAGTGTGATGTCTAGCTATTTTGACACAAAGCTGACTTGTTAACTGAGCTGTTGGCACTCAATTTCCATTGTGGGTAGAAGAATGCACAGAATGAAAAAGACAATATTTCTAGTTCTGCTGCGTCGAATCTTGCCCTTCTCTTGCAAAAGAATAAAACTTACCAAAACCATCTTGGCTGGTCTTTCAGCTGTTCCCACAATCACCAACTCGTTTTGGTTCGGTTTGGTCGAACACTTAATTCACAGAGTTAAATGTGAAAATATTCTGGCTCACACACTGTTTGTGCTACTGGTTGGTTAGCTTGCTGAACAAGAGTTTTATGTGAACAATTTTTTTGGAATTCATCCTCGGGTAGCATTTTGCTATTCTTAATTATGTCTGGCCATTTATTGACAGACCAGGTTAAATGGCAGTAGAGGATGTCATAGAGATAGATTCAGCAAAGTTAAAGCTTTGTCAGTCAAATCAATGGTGGGCTTCAAGTAGTAAATTGGTTACACTGCTGTCAAGTTAATTTTATATCTGTTCCATTCAGTCTATTGTTCTTGATTAAATAGGGATATTGATTCCAAATGACAC